TCATCAAATGCTTATTAAATGAATGAGAAGCAAAGTGACCTTGGGTAATTTTTGTATCCCTGAGAATGCCCAGTATTCATCAGGACTTGATGCCCAGTTTTATAAAAAGCTATTAACATGCTCAAGAGCATTCCATGAAAGGATAGCTTAGGATTTTAAATTTTGAAACATAAATGTGAAGGCTGTTTTGCTTGGAGAAGACTTGGGTCCAGGAACAGTGTAAATTTGAAGGGCCGGCATATCCAGATTCCAAGAATCAAACTAGGATCTGAAGAAGTTATGGGAGGCATAAATAAATGTATATTCAAGGTCAGTTTTTTGGTACTATAATATGTGAGGAGGATACAAAGATGGATAAGGCATAATTGTGCTCCTTACAGTCGTGTCATTCAGATGGATGTGTAAATAACATCTGTAACATGTGTAAAGGTAGAAGAAAATAGGGGTTAACCTGGCTGGCATAAAGAAGCACTGAGTTCCCAAGATTTTATTGAGATAACTTTCAGGAGATAGCGATCTAGACAGATGGAATAATGTGAGCAATGGTATGAAACAGTCAAGTGCATTAGAGAACACAAGAAGTTCTTATAGGAGGGCTAAGTGCAGTAGAGGTTGGAAGGAAATGGAGCTGATCACAGAAGGCCTTGTATGGCAAATAAGGGGTTTGTATTGTGTGTGTATTGTAGTAGAGATCTGTTAGCAGGTCTTAGGGGAGTATGTTCATATTTAGGGTTGAGAAAGAGTATTGCATAATTCAGACTTCCCTCTGAATCAGAGAATGTTACAGTAGAAGATTCCTAGTTGACTTGTGTCCAGGGCTGTGGGGTGAGGGCACAAGACCAGACTGAATAGCACAGTGGAGTAGCAAACCAGAAGCCTGTCTTTCTGCTTCTCTGCCAGCTTCCTTTTCCAGTTTTTTTAAAAATTGTACCAGTCATGAGAGGGGACCAGCAAAAGATGAAAATTTTCTTTAGATGACATTCTAAAAAAAAGTTTTTTAAGTTAAATGAACTTAGAGAGGAAGATAGAGAATAGGCATCAAAAATACAGAGAGCTCTCTGATGAAGTCAGGTTGTCAAAAATCATGTGCAGAAGAAGGGGAACTGGCATGATAAAAGCTACAAAGAGGAGCATGAAATATAAAACAGTGTTTGAAAGGGTAAAGCTCAGAATAAGCTTAAATTTATAGAAAATGCTAAAGTTGCCAAGAAGGCTTTTTTTTTTTTTTAAACCTTAGTCAAGGCAAAGAGAAGAATAGATAAAGTAGCGTAATGGATCGACAATCAGGAAAAGCAGAATAACTCAATTTTTTACTTTTTCTTTGACAGAGAGAGAGTCTGGGCAAAAATAAAGTGACATAAAATTGCAAAAATTGGAAGTAGAAAAAGAAAAAAAATCTTGCCACCTTAAATGATTTCAAGGCTGTTAGACCCACACTTCTGTATCCCAGAGAGCTACTGGAAGTTGCAAATGCTTTCTGTTAGCAATTATTGGGAATTTTTGAGAAACCATGGAGAATATAAGATGACAGAAGACTGGAAATGGGCAAATAGTGTTCCAGTTTCCAAAATAGTTAATGGCTTTAGCTATTTTTCTAAAATAAAAACTCATGATGAATCAAACTGTAATGTTAATAGTCTGTATTTTGAGGAAAAATTTAAATAGGTGTAACCAATTTTTAAACCCAATATTTAAAGGCCCTACAGACAGTAAGTTGTTTTAGGACTTAAGTTGTTTAAATGCTGACTATAATTGACGTATGTGTTCATTAAAACAGGTTGGATAGGACCTCTGCTTAGCAATTGTTTTTAGCTGTGTTTGAATTTTTGTATGTATTCCAAGTAATAAAACTATATTTATAAAATATTTCTATATTTGAGACTTTTTACTAATTCACTATGTCGTAAGTATCATATTGTGAACATTTTACTCAGAATATAGGTGACCAAAGTCACCAGCTTTTTCAGGTTTAAAGTTATTTTCCAGGTCATTTAGTTGTACTTGATTCAGAATAGAAAACTATATGAATACATGTGCTGATGACTCAAACCCAGCCCAGCATCAAAGTTCCCTCACATTGGGGAAAGGTTGCCCTGCTCTTAGACAATGGGGTTTGGACTCTTTAAAGAAAAGTCAGTTTACAAATGACTGTAAAATACTCTCCTTCAATCTTGCCTATCAAATTCATCCTTCGGTGTTAGGGCAATTGTCACTCACTGTGATCTCACAGCCCTTTATGTGGTTTAGAAGTTGGAAGTACACATATCTTTTTTCTTTATCACATGTGAATGCAAGTTATTACAGAAAACAGAAACCCAGTCTTTGTATGTCCAGTAACTTGGTATATTGAAAGTGCTCAGGAAATCTCTGATGAGAAAGAAAAATAACAAGTGAAGGAACAACTAAGGGACAAGAAATTACTACCATAATGGAATGGACTCTGCTAACTAATCTGCAAACCTCAATTATCTGACAATTTTGTCAGTTGTCTCAAATGTGTTTGGATGAATCCTGTCACCTTCAATCTTACATCCTAAACTGACTTTGGGATCCTCAGAGTTTTGTCTAGAATAAAATACTGCACAGTACACCAACCTAAGGATACATAATTGTTAAGATGATGTGCAAGTGCCCTCTTGGGCGATAAGAGTTCTGTAGAAGTGCTAGGAAATTTCTCATGAACTGCACATTCTAAAGTAGACCTGACCACTTGTTTAGTCCCTCAGCTTCACGGAAGGACAAAATACAGTGAGTTGACAAAAATGGCATGTGTTCTTTATATAACCCATTCAGTAAGCATTGATTACTGTTGCCAGGCTAAAGAGTCAACTGTTAACAAAAGACTGCCCCTACCATCATGGAGCTGGAAGCCGAGTGAAGGAGCATTGATGAGGAACAAGGGGATTGTGATAGAAGGTTATATATTAATGCTGTGATGTGAGTTAGCTATAAGGAATATGGAGGTGTGTACAGCCTTGAGAATCAGGAGCCTTCCTAGAGGAAGTGGTTTCTTGACTAGGATCAGAAAGCCCTATTTCCTACCTGCAGCAGGCTCCTCTCCTCTAGGAGAACAGTATTTATTAGGAGAGCTATCGCTATCCTATTTGACAGTAGTAATATATGCTAGGTATTGCTGACCTGTCCATTCTCCAAACTCTTACCACTTAGATAAAAGGTCACGTACTTGCCCATCTGATGTGTCCTGTGTATTTTACATGTCAGGATAACCCTGACGAAGGAAGCCGTATGCCCACAATCTTGGTACACTGTGTAAATTTGCCCAGGTAAGATTTATCCTTCAATCTTGGTAGGCTGGTGCCTTGCTCTAACCACTGTCCAGGAAGGAGAGTAAAACATAGCATCCCATGGCTATGCACACAGTGAGGAAAGTATAAGAGGGCATCAGTTCTGACTTCATAATGAGCATGGCTTTCTGATGTAAAACTTAACAGTACATTTCAGAAATTTTGTAGAATTCAAAGGGAAATTCCCTGGTCTGTAGCTTGTAGATTCCAACTTTATCCCTTCAATTTTAGACATTTTCCAAAGCTCGTTCTAGTACATTCCTATCTATCATATCTGGTACATATCTGTTTTCTGGTTCTTCAAAATAACCACATGCAGAAGTCCCAACTAAGATTGGAATGTTTTAATTTTGAACCTAGAAATGTAAATTTCTTTAAAACAGAGATAACAGATGCTTTTTTTTTTCTTTCTTTTTTTGTAACTCCACACTTAACTGTCGTTGCCCTTATAACTAGAGTGACCATGTAATTTTTCATCCAGACCAGGACATGTGACAGTGAAAGAGAAGTGGGGAGATTGGTAACACTTTCACTAGGACAGCAGACAAACTGGATTTGTATAATTAGTATCCTGTGCCTAACTAGATGTTATATATTTTTATTTGTGTTTGGATATCAATGCTAATAAAGTTGAAAAAGATTTACCTGCTACCAGACATCTGTCATTATCCCCCCTTTGCAATAACTTACTCTTTAAAAAATCATTTAAAAATTGAGAGTATTTTTCTCAAGTCTCCATTCATTTTAGGTGTCTCCCTAACACTTGTATTTGGGTGGGGAATAACTGGGGACTGAAACCAGGATGCACTGAGCTACATCCTCAGGCCTTTCTATTTTAAGACATGGTCTCACTAAGTTGCCCAGGCTGACCTCAAACTTTTTATCCCTGGTCTTTTTCCCTCTGACCAGCTTCATCACCGAGCTACATTTAATTCATCGGTTTTCTCGTGTTGTTTGAAGTTGTATTCATGCAGTTCCCCCTTCAGTCAGCACATTCTGAGGCTATTGCTCAAGTACCCCATGTTCCACAAGCCTTCCCTTTTGTTTCCAAGCAGTTAGTTCCTCCACTGCTTGTGGCCTTGAATCACTTTGTCCATTCCTCTTTTAGGGTACTTTGCTGGGATTTACCTGCTTTAGGTAGCAAGTAAATGGCTAATAAGGATTAATTCTGTAGGTCGGATATCTTTCTACATATGGCCCAGGCATTCAACACACAACAGGAATTAAGTTCAAAGTTTGTAGTGAATTTTATTGCAACTTTCTCTTATTCAGGCACCACTCAGCAACATAATAAATGACCAATTAAGAATTAAAAACAGTTTGCAGAAATTCTCACCATTGGGCCTTTCTTGTGCTGGCCTTGCCAACACCAAAGGTTTAACAATAAAATGGAAAACATCTTTGGGGGTTTTAACTAATGAAATCCAAGTAATGTCTTAGTTATTAATCTTAAGAAAATCTCCCATACTTGGAAAGTGTATGAAAAACATGTACCATTGAACGTCTTTCTCTAATAAGTGAAGTTTTTCTTGAGAGCTGTCCATTCAGGGTTGTAGTAGTTATGCTGCTGAAGAAGAATCCTCAGGCTTCTGCTGGCAGATGCACAGGTGACAAGAATGACGTTGTTGAGAGTGAAGAAATTGAGTGTAATTTCCTCCAGGGGAAAGAAGGTGTCTTTCCTTTTTGCCTGGTCTGCAATGTTGAGTGGAGCTGAAAGGCCACAGGTGTCAATAGGCAGCCTGATTGTGTTAACAAAAACCTAGTTTAATTACTAAGGATTCCCCCGCACCCCCGCAGGCTATGCCATAGTTGCACTCCTAGCTCTTGTGCAAATTATCTTCATGATTTGGGGCGAGTCATTTGCCTTTGACACCTTTTATGTTTTTATTTCAATTTATGTATTCTGTCAATATTGCACCAATATATTTTTTTCTCGAAGTAAATTAATTTCTTTGAGGGCAGCAATATAGATACTGTGTGCACCCTTTACCGCTACTTGTCTACTATACCCAAGAAGCTTATCTATGCAAGGGTGTCAAATTAATGAATATAAATATGAGAACCACCTTCTAGAAACAAAGTGTTTTAAAAAAAAAACCAACCTGAATGTTTTATGTTAATCTAGGACAGAGGGTAAGTGCCCCTTTTAGTAGGCCTCTGACTACTTAAGAACAGCATCTATATCATTCATAAGCATCCAAGAGCCACAACCACCTTTTATTTTACTTTGATGAGAAAACATCCCAGATCACAGGAGAACCTTTATCCCAGGCTTCTCGTGCATCCTCTGGAAAAGTCCTCATGGAAGCAGTGAAGGTGGCTGGGACCCTGAGAAACATCTTTCATTTTTACAGTTAACACAAAGCATGGTTTGGTGTCTGTGCTTTCACAGGAGGAAAACAGTGTGTGCTATGTATGTTTATATCACTGATTTCCCAAACCTTTGGTGAACAATTTTACAAGCATTTAGTCCTTAGTTGTGTGCAAACAACCTATAGCACTTATGGGTATAGGCAGCCCACCGGGAGGTTTCTGGATTCCTAGTATTCTCCCTGTTAGCACCCAATTTCAGTATAACCTCAAAGTCCTTGCACCAGCCCCTCTGGCCAGTTGTAGGCAGCACCAGCACACCCACATTCTGGGCATCCTTAGGTAATGAGCTCATATACAGGAGAAGCCAAGCCAGTGGAAGAAAAGCAAAATGAGAAAGGAAGAGAGGAGAGCCACAAGGACAAGGACGAATGTCCTACAACTAATAAAAATGAAGATGGTTTTTCTTATTGTGGTTTGCAAAATCCTTTTGGAGGCAATTCCAAAAGAAAAGTTTTAAAATGGCCTAAGTAATATCAGCATCGCTTCAGTAAGTGTGTGGCTTTCCAAGGGCATCTTTTTAAAAGAAAATAATCATTTGATTTCTATGAGTTATGATATATTTGTTTTAAATATTTATTATAAAACTAAAAAGCACTTTGAACAATKATTATACCTATGAATATAAGGTAATTTATAGGTTATATGAATGAGATGGAAACATTCTTAATTTTATAGTCTGAGGACCAAATTCAGTGCTGGGTACCTCTGCAACAGCCACCATTAAAGACTTTGAGGCTTCTGGACACTTGATGAGGATCAGAAGATTAAGGATAACAAAGGTGCCAATAAATGGCACAGGCAATTCCAAGCTTGCTTTACAGAATATATGGGCGTCTGGGTGAGGCAGAACAGGTGACCCATTTCAGTTTTATTTAGAGAGGTAGCATAGGTTGGCAGGTATCAAACAGCTTTTGTATCTCACCAGCCACATTTACATCCTGGCTTTATTTACCCTTTGTAGCTGACTAACCCTCTCCAAAGTATTTAATTTCTCCAAGGCTCAGTTGCCCTCCCTGTAAAATGCCTAGTGAGTCTGCCTGGCAAAGAGTTTTCAATAAACATCAATTTCTCTGAAAGGGTGTTAGCGTCAAATCAAGGGTCACAATCCAATTGTATATTATGAAACAAGTTTAGTGGGTTGCAACTGGCATATTTTAAAAACAACATCAAAATGCCTTGCACATAACAGCACATATGTTTCCTTATGTCTCTGCTGAGTTTTGGTATAAATGCATTTTTTACTGTGGGTTACAGCCAAAAAGTTTCAATCTCTGCTCTACAGAGAAATGTTCAGGTTATGTCAAAAAAGCCTTTAAAAGTGCTGTCTTTATTCAAATGAGCCCCTAAAAATGTTCAGATCTTAAAGCATTCCTAACTTGTGCAATAAATGTAAGACTTGAATCATAGAGAAGATAAATTTTATCTGACACTATACAGCATTAAATTCAAATTTAAGATTGGTTTCTGTGTCATACTGACTTATTTATACATATAAGCACTTTATAGGTATATCATTTATAGTTGATTAATTTCTATAAAAAGTTGGCTATTATGTTCTATTATGGGGGAAATGAGATAAAATTTCTAAATAATTTTAATAAGGCTTTTTAAAAAATGACTAACTTGCCAAATCATGAAGACTGTTAGAGTAATATTCCAGTCCAAAAGAGAGACACTTATGTGAGTACAATGGAGTACCACACTGGCTCAGTAAAAATGAGAAATTCCAGAACAAAACGTGAGCTACAAACACAGGCCTCCTTTCTCCTTTAGGTCCTTTCGAGTTCCTAGTGCTGCCCCTAAGATGGCATGCAGGAAACATGGGCAATCTGAGGTTGACAGAGTAGAGTACTATGTAGTGATGAAGAAGGGTAGAATACTGGAAATTACAGAATCAAATGACACAGCTGAATCTTCACATAACTACATTTATCATTTTAGCTGACTACTTGGACTGGTCCTATCAGCAACTGAGTTTAAGAATCCTGTTTTAATGCTGGTTGTGGTGGTGCATGCCTGTAATCCCAGCTCCTGGGAAAGCTGAGGCAGAAGATTAAAAGTTTTAGGCTAGCCAAAGCAATTAGTGAGATCCTGTCTCAAAATAAAAAATAAAAAGGTGGGCACGTGATTCAGTGGTTTAGTTCCCCTGGGTTCAATCCCCAGTACCAAAAAAAAAAAAAAAAAAAAATGCGCTGTTTTAAATATTTGGGTGAGCATTGATCCTGTTCAGATTTGAACAGTTGGTGTTAAAGGGATGGGCCAGAGAATAGAAAAGAGTTGGAGTTCAAAACGACCTTATAGGTATCCAATATCTGATACTGGATCATAACCTGACCCTTAAAGTATTTTTTCTTGGTATTATTTGAAAGATACAGGTAAACAGATAACATTTGATGCTTCGTTAGTGATAATCATAAATGGTGCTTTGTCCCACTAGAATTTATTGCTGAGATTCAAAGAGTATGGAAGAAAAAGCTCTCTCACAGAGGTGAAAGGTAACATCAGTAAGTTATTAAAGGAAAACTCAGCAAGAAAGAAGCTAAGTGATGACCACTCAGCCCCCTGATGAACTTTGACTCCTAGAAAGACATTGCCGACACCTTTTGGGGTGCAGGTGTCCATTCTGTCCTCAGAAAAGAGTAAAGGGCAAGGCAGAAGGCAGCTCCTTCCTATGTCAACTTCTACTGAGTTGACAGTACAGAGTGACTCTGTCTAGAATTTTACATTCTTTTCTAGATTTAAAACCTCCTTGCTGTTTGAGACAGAAGGGGGGGGTTCTGTCTGTGTTGGCATTAGCACCACGAGTCCTTTGCTGAGTCTGAGCCTTGGCACTGGGCTCTTGTTATCTTCTAGAATGTGGGCAAAGGTAAGCCTGAGCGCCACTTTTTGGAGGAAACAGCAGCTGTGGAAAGTGAAGGAACGCACAGGCGAAAGCAAAGCTGGGAAGAGGAGTGTGCTAGCAACTGAGGTAGAAAGCTGGCTCAGTCCTCCAGGGGCCACCTGAAGAAAGGGTGGCTCAGAGCCTTCTGTGTGGCGGCTACATCAGCTCCTTAGAATGAGACGCTGCCCCAGGATAGGCCCTTGCTCTTTTCCCCTCTGCTCATTTTCAGACCAAACATTAATGATGTTCAAAATACTTGGAAATTTTTTTTCTTTTTTTTTTTAAACTTAAGAAATTATAGGACAGGGTGGTGAGAAATGGGAAATGATAAAAAAGATTCTGAGAAAAACCTTCGCTATACATGGGTAGAATTCACCCCATAAACCAAGGACTTTTCCAAAATTATGAAGAATTGACAGCAAAGGGCACTAGATCTCTTTGAGATGTGAGGGGAGGATGACAGAGTGAGCATGGTGGCTGGCTGGTAAGTCTCCTACCAYTTGAGACTCAAGGAAGAATATAGAAAAGAAGCCAGGGTCACAGAGTAAGATATCTTAGAGAACTTAGTATAAGAAAACAGGAGTGGCCTATTAATTTCCTTCACCAGAAAAATATATTTGGATCAAACTGCAACTGGGTTCACTGAATGGGCTCCATTATGTAGCTCACCTGTGCTCCTTGTGAGGCCCTGACTTCCCTGTCTGATAAACAGGCTCCTGAACTCCCATTCTTTTCCTAGATACCAGGCCTAAATAATCCACAAGTACACTTAGCCTTAAGGTCTGCAGTTCATTCCTATACATCTTAAGTTCTTGTCAGCGTTACAGATTCAGTTTTCACATTTTTAGGCAGACAATTTGCACCTCGGCCACCTTTAAACTTGACCTGACATTACCCACTCTGAGCCAGGCTCCTTTGATCTCTAACATCAACACCACCCAGCAAACAAATTACAACCACTTAATACGGTTCAATTCCACTTGGGCATCTAGAGCCACTGTCTTGATACATGATGTTCCAAAGCTGTGTGTCCAACAGCAGCAAGGTGCTTGTTAGGATAGATACGTTGGCACCAATAATACTGAAATTGAGTTTTTAGCTGCATTTTTTGTCACTTTGGCTGGGAAGATCTGGACAGCTGGAAGTGAGCTTCTCCATCATTTTCTGTTTTCTTCTTTGTATCAATTTTCCACCTGTGAAGCCCAACACCCCACCACCAAGTGCAGCTGCAATTCCTGCCACTTTGAAGCCTGCAAGGAGGCCAATCGGACCCCCCACCACTCCTCCGATGAGTGCACCTGCCACGGGCAGAGCTGCCAGCTTGTATTTTGCAGCCTGTAAAAAAATAAATAAATAAATAAAAATTCAATTTAGAAATTGAGTTGAGAATATCTGCCTGTGGTGATGTGCATTTTCCTCTCATTACTCCTGGCAATGCCTCTTTAACTCTTGGTACATAATTAACCTTAGAGATTGTAGTGTTGGGGGAGAAAAAAAGTATTCCACAGGTACTACAATTGCTCCAGATCTCAGGACTTGGAGAAATGGGCTACAAATCAATTTTACTTGTAAAACAATCAATCCACTAACTAGCTGGCTTATTTAAATAGTTTCCACAGCCACAGATTCCATAACCAATTTTTTTATGCTGCACAGAGATTATTCTATACTATGAACCTGGGTATTCAAATCCACATCCTATGGAAAATAGATGATCCCAATCCATGCATGCGGTCACGTCCTTACACTTTTGATTCTTGCTCTTGCCCCCTCCTCTCCCTGGACCTCTGCAGACATTCATTCCCTCAAGATACCAAATGCCTTACACTCGGCCTACTGTTTATTYTCTTTGAAAAAAGAAATTTTCTTTCCTAATAGAACGAATCTTCGAGTAGAATATTACAACCATTGATTTCTTGCACTACCTATGTGTCATTTCTTCCTTATTTCCTTAATTGCTGGTTCCCTCAACACTGAAGAGAGCAGATCAATTGGGTTAATACTAGAGATTCCTGGGAGCCAGAGTACCATTGATTTGTCAGCAGGAGCAGAATCTTACCTTCCCCAAGTTTTTGGTTCCCTCTTCAACATTCACAGCAGCACTGTTGACATGGTCTGCAATGCTGTCAATCTTCTCCTGCTGAGACTAGATGCAAAGGAATTATGAGTGAGCGCTCCTGCTGAGGAGCGGTGGGACGCCAACACACACTATTTTAATTCCTGTAATCAGGGCCCTGGGTACTGCAGCCTTGCAGTCTTAATAGCGGTTCATTAATAGCATCTGATAAACCATGTCGAAAGCACAAATTCACTTTCATGAAAAAAAGAGGGGGACTTAATTATTGGGTAATAAAAGGGTGGCACCTTCATAGCAAAAAGCATCTCACACTGAAATTCATTCAAACATACAAACATATTATTGTTCAAATGAATCYACTTTCCAGGAGGAAAAAAAAAATCCAAATAAGCATTTATATGTTATGTTGGGTTTGATGGGAGAAAAACAAAATCAAACAAGAAAACTCCTCCCTAATCTATCTTCTTTGAAGATTCTGTTTAAAACAGGCAAATTTAGAAATAAAATGCCCTTGATCCAATAAATATAAAAAGTGTTAAGTTTTAGGAATAAGGCTATGATATGGTTTGATCTACAATGACATCTTTCCACTTGGGCTATTCAGAAGGGAGCAGTGAATGAACCTATCGTCCTGGGTTTCACACCTGTAGCCAAACTTCAAACATTAAAAAATCATGATGAGTTAAACTATTTCAGGTTGAATATATTAATAAAATATATTAATTAGCAACACCTGTGCTGACACAACAGCAACTGTGGCTGTGGCCCTGGGGCAGGAATGCTGAGGTAATGGAGAGTATTTTCCTCTCTGAAGTGTGAAACCCCACAACAGTGCTTTTGACAAGAGGTCACTGGGCCTCTGCTCTAACACCTCCAGGGATAAGAACAGATCCCTCGAAGGAACACATGCTTATTTTAAAATCAACTTATTCAAATTTACATAGAATGATGTGTACTCATTTTATCGGTGCAGTATGATGAACTCTGACAAATGATAAACCCCTATAACCACCCATGTAACTAACCACCATCACAATTAGCATGGAGATTATTTTTGTAATTTGCAGGAAAAAGAGAGAGAGAGAGAATCCCTCTTTGATTCCAGATAAATGCCTTCTACAATGAGCATGAAATAATTCAGCTTGAATCCTGAAGTATTTGATTACCCTTATATAACTGACCTGCTCACTTATACTGAGGGAGACATAAATAATACTCTCCTAATTCCAATCAACACTTCACTTGTGAACAAACAACACGGCTAATTTTTCCTATTGTTGTCTCCTATTAGCATTATTGATATTCCATCCCTTCCCAGTATGTACCTTTTATTGTTGAGCCTTTTGTGGTATCTTTTCATTATAGGATTCTCCACCACTATCTTGATACCACAGTACAATCCCTTAAAAAGTCCTTTTTCAGTTTTCTTTGTCTCAGACACAAGTACAAGAACAGTTCTTAAACTAAGTGGGCCAAAAAATCACCTGTGGGGCTTCTTTAAACAGATTGCTGGGCCCGGCTCCCAGTAGGCCTGGGGTAGAACTGAGAATTTATGTTTCAAATAAGTTCCTGGATGAAGCGCATACTGCTGATTCTCAAACTTTAAAAGTCAGTAGTGCATATGATAAGAATAAGGGCATAACCTCTGGTCAGATATTCTGTGTTCAAATTCTCAACATATACCTTTGGACAAATTTCTCAGGCTATGTGTCAGTACTCCCAGCCATCAAATGAAGATAATGCTATTTATACCTCATGGAGTTGAAAGGAGAATAACATGAGATGTCTTCAAAGCATGAGGAGAAGAATCGAAGAATTCATCCTGACCTTCCCAAGATAAGTGTTCACTCTCATTTTCCTACCAAAAAATATATGGAGCTTTTTCCTATGATGCTTGAAAATTCTAGGGCAAACATTAGATCTCTCCTAGCATTCACTTGTTGGCTTTTTGTTTTTCTCAGACAGTAAAACTTTTAAAAGTCAGCTTTCTTTTTCTGATCCATAGAAGCAATGGATCAGAAAAAGAAAGCAAATCTTGCCTGCATTTCTGACGCCCTAGCACTGTTTCTGTTTGGGACACTCCAGCACCCCCTACTCCTGCCTGAAAGAGTCTATGCTAGCAGATAAATCACAGGGGTAAAATCCTGTCACCAACCTTTGCATCTTGATGAGTTGAGGGTAGAAGAACAAAAGCCCATGTTCTTCCTTCCCCCCCAGCCCCAAATAATTGTTGGCCAGAGGGAGGAGCCTACCAGGATTATTGCCATTTCCATCTCCAAGTGTGATCTCAAGGCCTCAGGGAAATACTTCTAATGCTCCTTTTTAGGATATTTTAAGGGTATTGCAACCTTATAACTTTTTAAGTTAAAGTGAAATTTTAAATATCATTTTAATATTTTTAAATGAAAATCCTTTGGAGTAAATTGAGAAAAGACTAGAAGAAAAAAAAATCAATCCTAGGATTACCAATTATTTGAACTATTACACACACCCTCTATGTCTGCAATCCCCAGCAATGGTGAGGCCTGTCTTGCCCTGGAGTAGCCCACATCTGCAAGTTCTATTCACTGGCCCCATAAGACTGAATAAATCTGGTGGACGGGAGATAAGGCAGAGAGTAGAAAATCTGGGATCAGCAGGCATCCTTTAAATGTGTGGCTCTACCTTCCTCTTCCCCTACCTTACTTGGTTTGAATCCTCAAACCGCCCATATCTTCAGATTCTGCTTCATAAATAAGAAGGACTCAATGGCACTCACAATGATTACAGTTTAGCATCAAAGTGGTATCACAGAGTTGTCAGTCACTATCAGTAGAATGCCAAACTAGACTCCATTCAGAGTTGAATCTGGGCACATTTCTCCACTGTATCTATGGCTCTTTATGCTGGGCCACAGACACACCAGCCACACACAACCTACCCCAGCCTAGGAAGCCAAGCTCCTATGGCAGCTCAGGTCCTTCTCATTCTATCCGCCAACTCCCCCTCTTAGTTTCTGATGTGCTCTATGTTTGTCTTCATCCACCTAGGCCTCCCACATCTGTCAAACTTCAAACCCCTGCCTGGTATTTTATTCTTTGGCACTTAAAAGTGTTCTCAGCATTCCTTTAACAATGAACTAAGCCATTTATGAGGGACACTGCAGTGCTTCTCAAATTAGAGTATAGATTCCCTTGTAAAGAAAAAAAAATCTCAAAACTCCGAGAGTATGTCCATGGATTTCATTTTAAGGAACACTGACTTTCATCCCCCACTGGCCTGAAAATAACTGAATCTTGATGAATAATAGGGGCTCCTAAGATTCTGAAGCAAATGTGATTTATCAAATTAATACTTTAAAAAGAAAAATGCAATTTGGGCAGATGAATTAAAAACGAACAAGGTATTATTTTTTCCTTTAATGCTTATTATGAGTACTTGTAAGCCCAGCATCCTCTATATCAAATAATAGTAATACATTCAACAAATCCATTTACATCAATAATAATGCTCTTCCTTGGAAAATTAGTTGTGCAATTTTATTAGTATGCTTGGAAAACTATGAGTTTTTTTAAGAAGACTCCAGTATTTTCCTTTATTCCTAAGTTCCATATTTATTCATATGCAATCAATCATAATATACACAGAGAAGCTCAGAAACACATATCAACACTATGATATTCAGGCAGAGCACAAAATCATATTGACCTAGAATAGGTGATAAGCAGAGTAGAGAAGGAGGACACTGACATAGGGGGATTCAGCAGTGGACATGGGACTAAAGGAACTCCAGTACTAAAATGTCTGAAGATAATGTTGATACAAAAGTAGAATTTATGGATGGGGCCAAGGGATCCAAGGGAAGGACAAATGCAGAAATGCAGGTGAGGTCAGGGGAAAGGGAAAAGGATGGGAAGTAATAGACATCATCTCATTTAGTCCTCCCATTGGTTTTATAACACCAATTGTTGCCCAATAATACCTTGAAGGTCATATAGGTAGGTAATAAATGGAGGAATCTAATCTAATCCACAGTTTTGTGTATCCAGAGTAAAACTGCACTTCAAAAGCTGTAGGGAATAAGGTAAAAGGTAGAAGTCAAAACAGTATCAGCAGCAAGGATGACATGCTGTCAAGCTACTGGCCTGGAGTTCTTTAAATTCTCCTTGAGTAGAAATAGGGCTGGTTACAAGAAAAGGCAGTAAAGGTGGATGAAGCAGGGCAAATGAAGCAGGGCACCTAGTAGATATTAATTTGTTAAAATTAACAGGACCATGCTTTCATCTCCTAATGGCTTTGTAGGTCCTTTGTGTTGTGCTCAAGTACAAATAACATAAATTTACCATTTTAACTATACAATTTAGTGGCATTAAGTACATTCATAATGTCGTACATCCATTACTACTATCCTGTAGGTTCTTTTTATACTCTTCTCTATTCTTCATTGAGCTAACCATAGTACTACGTACATAGAAAGTGTTCCTTAAGTACGTGATTAATTTGCCTAGATACTATCATGTCCATGTGACGATAACAAGAGGATGTGGTCACTTTGGTTATGTTCCCAGGTCATTCTGTACCTAAATGGAGCTTCTGTGAGTCTTTGGCCATGTGGTCATGAGAACTCAGTCACTCTGGGAATAATAATCAGGGGTTCTCCTTTGAGCTTTTGCCAAATAGCATTCTGCTCATGTCCTTGTACACATTATTATAAATAGGACATTTGTATAGAGCTATGGCTATAGATGGCTACAGCCAGAGTCTTCCTGCATAAATCTTCCTTGGGCTGGGGTTAGGAGCTGCTTATGTAACACAATTAAACATAACTGTTTAATGTAACTGTTAGGTGGCTACAAACTTTCATTTTTCTTTCATGTGCCTACCCCATTAGAAAGGAAATGTATTTGGAGTGAGAAGAACTCTACACATGTTTCCTTTGTTTTTTAAATCAACTTGATTGAGGTATAATTTACATACATTAAAACACATATTTTAAATGTACAGGCTGATGGCTTTTGGCAAATGTATAAATTTTACAAACTGCACTAGATTCAGAAATTATTAGTTACAATAATTGAATAAATTTTGATTCTAACCAACATATATTTTGGGATTCCCTGCTGTATGCAAATATATTATTAGATTATATAGATACCTAATCCAGAGACTTCCAGCATTTTGTTTCTTCTGACTTAGAGGCATCAGAAATAATTCAAATGATTTACTGCATTTAATTTTAGTCATTACATTTCAAGCAAATATCCATAAACTAGGATATAAGCAGAATAAGGGGTGAAACTGGAAAGTCTAAAAGTCATATTGCAAAAGGAACGCAAAAGAATGGATTCTTAAGAAGTGAATATATGGTGGGGTGGGGTTGGGAAAGGAAAGTGATACAGGTCTTACAACCTAGAAAACCTTTTATATGAAAAAAAGTCCAGTGTGCTTCGTATATGGCTCTAGATGGTAAACGTACCAAAGAGTAGTTATCATAGAGCAGAGCTTACATATGGAAGACCTTCTGACTCCACACCTCCACATGGCATGGTAGAAACATCAAGTATGCCTGCACTGTAATTATGCAAAAAGGAGCTAAAAGACCCTTTGAGAAGTTGGGATGAGAGTAGTGGTGTTAGATTAGTTGGCCTTAATTTCCTCCCATTCCAATTCTGAGGTTGTATGATTTAGGCACTTAAAGACTAGGGAAACCCTACTTAGAAGAAGGACAACCCCCAAATCATGATTTGATCAAAAATTTAAAATTAAACCTAAACAGAAGGAGAAACAGGCTAGCGCCTTTGTGGACATACATATATAACACACCTACTCATGTATTCTAAATTCCCAAAATTCCTAGCAAGGAAACTATAAGAAAAATAATGTTTCTTTAGAAAAGTTTAGAAAAATAATGATAGAAAACCTATCTTTCCCACCAAAACTACCTTGTGCTCCCAAATCTGTTAACAGCATTACTGGGGCTTGATTGCGCAGAATAATGCCATAATATTCCTATCTTTGACTCTATCTTCCTCCAATTTCTGCTTAGTCTTCCTAGAAATACCTCCCAGTATTGTTGCCATTGCTCCAGGTTAAACTCCTACAGCCGATTCTTAACCAGTCATTCCTGCCCATGACCTCATTCTCTCTTTTCTTTTTCCATTTTGTCTTTTTTAGATATGCATGACAATAGAGTGTATTTTGACATATTATACACACATAGAGTATAACTTATTCTAATTAGGATCCCATTCTTGAGGTTGTACATGATGTGGAGTTTCACTAGTGGCATATTCACATATGAACATAGGAGTTATGTCTGATGCTTTCTTCCACCATTCTTTACCCAGGTAACAGTGGCCTTTCTAAAGCACAGACTGGATTACAACTAACCTGCTCAGAAATCTGCAGTGACTCTGTAGTACCTATAAAGTAAAGCTCAAATTCTTTGGTATGGCATATAGTTCCATTACAGTTGGCCCTCACTCTGATTGCCTGCCCACTATACCTCACGTTTTAGTTTGCAATATTTAGTACTCCTGGACAGGCCATGCGCTTCTCAACACCTTGTCTTTGTTCAGCTGTTTGAAAGATGCTCCCTTATACCCCCTGGATCATTTCCAAATTTCTGAAGGCTCATGAGAATGCTATGTGCCTTAGTGAAGGTATGCTTCATGCTTCCACCTTACAAACATGCTTCCCTCCCTTGGAATTCAATGCTGCATCTTGGAATAGATGATACTTCTCTTCATATCTTATTTTTGCATTTAGTCATTATGCTCAAAAGCTCAGTTTGGGGGGTTCAAAGTTTATCTCCATCCACTGCAGAATCCCCAAAAGCATACAATGGGTTTCATTTATTTCTATATTCAACATTGTCAGATTCCCCAGTAGTGAGTATCTAACAAAATGCCTTTATTTACATTATTAAATAGAACTGGAATTTGAGGCTCCATACCAGTCTTAAAAATTATAATTTTTCTTAAAATTCTAATCAGGAGCACAGTGAATAATCAAAGTCTCTAATTCTAATACCCTACCAATTCGGAACAAAAAACAGTTATATACTTACATTTACTAGGAGAGAGAAATCAGTAACCAGTTGACTAAGTTCAATTAAGTCCTTAAAAAGAGAGAGAGAGAAAGTTATTTATTTTTATGCCTCACAGTTACCAAGAAAAAAAAAAAAAACTTTTAACATACCGCTTCTAAAGTTTCCCATGATTCTGCAGCATTTTGATCTCGAGGAATTTCAGGCAATGCGTATATCTGAGTCAAACTCTGAGAACTAGCTTCATCTTCAGTATTGTGAAATGCTCCTGGATGAACACAGACTCATGTTTGGAATTTGCTTTTCATCAAGGACACAGCATGAATCAATATCATACAACAACTGCCATGTAAAATGCTCACAAATTAAATTCAGGCTAATAGTAAGTTGATTATTCTATGAAAACAGAATTATTTATCCTTGGGCAGCTTGTTCCCTTGGTTAGTTAACACACATTTTTTTTTCTCTATCTAGAAAGACATCTACAAAATGGCTACAAATACCATCTATCCAATCTGAATAATTAAAAATAAGTACAGAAGAGCCAGCAAAAGGAAACTAATCTATTTGGCCAATATTCCATGAGGAGACACCCCCAATGTTTCACTGCTAAATTTGTAACCTTTTATTGGTTAATTTAGTAATAAATATCAGATATACAAGTTAATAAAAGCAGGGGTGAAGATGTAGCTCAGTGGTGGAGTACTTGCCTAGCACACATAAGGCCAGGGTTTGATCCCCAGTATTGCATCTACTGATGACAATGAGTTTGTCCCCAAAAGAACATTTTTGTACATACTGTCACTGTTTCCTTACAGTCATTCTTCTGGTTCATTACTCTACTGTTTCCCTTATTTCTTTTCTCAGTTTTAAAAAGCCTTCAACCCACTAACACTTTGCTTATTTAACACAGCTTTATTGATAAATTAATTTACAGTAAAAACTCATCTTCAAGTGTTTCGTATTTCCTCATATTGGTTTCACCAATCTTCCATTCATTCATTTGACATTCATTACATGCTCTCTATAGCCCAGTCAGTATGTCACAGTGCTGGGGACACTATAAAAACAATTCTGAGATTATGGCACAGCAGTGCACACCTGTAATCCCAGCAACTCAGGAAACTGAGGCAGGAGGTTCACAAGTTCAAGGCCAGCCTCGGCAACTTAGTGAGACCCTGTCTCAAAATATAAATTAAAAAGGGTTGGGGATGTAATTCAGTGGTAAGGCATCCCTGGTTTAACCCCTGTATCCCACTTGCCCCCTCCCCCTGACACAAAAAAAAGTTCTTAAGAGGCAACATTCTGTGGCTGTTAGGAGGATGGGTCTAGTCAGAAAGACTTGGGTTAGAATCTTGGTTTGGCTATGTACTGGCTCTCTGACTTGAGAAGGTATTTAATTTCTGGCTTATTTTTCTCATTTGTAAAATAAGGTGACTGTACTTTGCATAGCACCTGTCTTATATATAAAAGCAAGTCCTCAGTAAATAGTTGCTACTACTACCACTGTTATTACTGCTATTATTAGTACAGCTTACCATAAAATGTGTGACAGACCAGTTAACAGTAAAGTGCATTCAGGATAGTTTGTAAGAACTATGATGTAGGTTTCTGCAGAGTGCTATGTGAGCCCAGTAGAAGCCCACAGCCTTTTAGTCAGGAGGGTGGTCAGAGAAAGCTCTGAAGCTGAAGCCCAAGGACAAAGGAATAATAGAGGTGAACTGTGGTAAAGGTGCAGGAAGATGCAAAAACTATTTAGGTCAGGGAAAAAAAAAACAAAGCAAAACAGGATTTGGAGCTAAAAGAGGATCCGTGTAGCTGATGCATAGACTGAAGAGAGAAAAGCAAAGATTGAGACCACATGCCAAGCTGAGGGTATTCACGGCATTGTAATCATGTTAAAGAGTTTCATCTTTCTCACAAGATCACTATGGAATCGTGAAAAGAAGTTGGAGACCACTGGGAAGTGGGAAGTAACTACCATCAGATTTTAGATTTTAAAAGGATGTTAAAGCTACAGTGTGAAGAATACATTAAGGATGGTGTTGAAAGGTGAAGAAATAAAAGTGAAAAAGCAGTTGGAAGGCCTTCCAATATGTCCAGTGCAATACTTGCAGCTCTAGAATAAAGACAGTAGAAATGGAAAGAAGAGACCTGAAATTTTATTTTTTCCTCTTCACTTCAAGCTCAAAATACCTACCATGTTAACATTTTCTGGCCATCCATTAGGTATTGTGTTTGGTACCAGGGATGGAAAAGTAAATAAATCATTATGCCTACTCTCAAAGAACTTATATTCTAGAAAAGCCAGACATGCAAAGAGATAATCATAAAACAATGGGAAAGTTCATGGTATCTCTTTATTCAGATGAACAGAGATACATGTACATTTTGGGGGCATTCCAAGATGGGGGTGGCATCTGATCCAGCTTGATGTGGTATGAAGAGGGAAAGCTTCCTAGAAAAGTTGATACTACTGGTTGAAAAAGAGAGGAATATAAATTTTAGATAGAGAAACTTGATTGAACAAAGGCCCTCAAGAAAGAAACAATATAGCTAATGTAAAATTAGCAGTTTAGTGTTAACAAAGCATGAAATAAAAGACACAAGTTACAAGAATAAGACATTATAGATGATCAGGAGGGACCTTGTTGACCAGGTAAAGACTCTAGACTTTATCTGGCAGACAACAGAGACTTGCTGAAGGTTAAAAGCAGATTTTGAAATGACATATGATGACATGTGACCTGATCTACTTTTAAAAGTCAGCCCATATTTCTTTTGTTTCCTTTTTTCAAAACCTGTAATTGAATGATATCCCATAAAACTGCATTACTACAGTTATCTTCAAATTTATGAACACTTTACCTCTCAATAAAAACTGATTTGAACTGCATAAAAAGGACATAGTCAGTAGACTGAAAAGTAATTTGTAGGTTTAATCAGGATTGACAGTGTTCTTTTAATTTTGAACTTATTTGAAAATATTAAAGAGCAGAAACATCAGATACAAAGCAAATTTTACATTACAACATTATGACAAATATCCAATACTTTAAAAGCTCTCATTGAGTTGTATAAATGCTTAAAATATTTACTTAATACCTTAGGTTATCACCATTAAGACACTTTCATTTTCACTTCAACCAAGATAAATGCATTACCCTATGACCTTTCTTCTACTTAACATTCTTACATATTGGTGAACAATGATAACTTCATTATTATTATCAGACCGAATGCAAAGCAGAACTTTATGACCTTGACTATTCTAAAGATTTTTAAAGCTATAACCTATGTACTATTAAAAAGGATTCAAATGGAGTATGTTAGGGTGTATACATACACACACACAATCATATGTAAATTCTTTATCTAAAAAATAAGGGATGAGAAATGTTTGACATTTAAATAAATCATAAAAGATTTCCCTTAGTAAAAAAACAAGAAATGTTTAAGTCATTTCCGTCTCACTTGAAACCAAATTGCGTATGCATCTTAGTTCAAATAGAATCTTAGAACAAAGAACTCTATTCTCTGCCATAGAAAACCCTGCTGTAAACTTACAACTCTGAACATCACTAATCAATTCAAGGCATGACTATCAATTAAGAAAGCAAACCTTTTAATTTCTACAACTCCCATCATTCAATTTCAACTTGTACCTCAGCAATCATTCTTTGACTTTGAACTCTTGCAAATGTCTATGGATACGCTGAGGCAAAACACTGAGATTATAGCTACAGGAAAGAAGACCAAAGAACTTGAACTTGTTCACAGAAGTAAAAAACTGTAATTGTTTCACATTATATAACAATCTCAGATAGTCCAGCCCATGTGCAAACAACTTGCATAAAGGGCAAGCATGTGTGTATCACTCACTCTGTTTCTCAAACTTGGAGTTAAAGCGTTATTGTTTGCTATACGTTCAAATAAACATGAAGTTACTTTAGTTGAAGTGAGAGATAAGTTAAATAGCCTGGCTATAAGATTTTTCTTTCCCCTTTTATACATATTCAAATATTCTCTTCCTCTTTCTTTTTCTATACTTTGCAAATAACACTATTCCTGCTAAAATTACAACACAAAACATGAAATTTCCACAAAACTTCACTATATTAGGAAATGTTTCACTAAAATGTAGATTAATTAAAAAGCATGCCAGGCATGGTGGCACATAATTCCAGTGACTCAGGAGGATGAGGCAGGATGACCACAAGTTTGAGGCCAGCCTCAGCAACTTAGTAAGGCCCTGAGCAATTTAGTAAAACCCTGTCTAAAAAATAAAAATAAAAAGGGCTGGGAATGTGGCTCAGTGGTAAAGTGCCCCTGGGTTAACTCCTTGGTTAAGAGAGAGAGAGAGAGAGAGAGAGAGAGAGAGAGAGAGAGAGAGAGAGAGGGAGGAAAAAAATACTCCTTAATTTCTTTCAAGTTTTGATAGTTTAAAAGAGTGAATTAATTTGCTGATAATTTATATAAACCCATCTATCAAAATAAAATTACTTTTAAGCCATAGCTTAACTTAACTGTAAAGAAAAACTATTAAGAAAATTAAAACCAGCTGGCTGCAGTGGAGCACGCTTGTACTCCCAGCTACTCGGGAAGCTGAAGTAGGAGGATCACAAGTTCAAGGCCAACCTTGGCAACTTAGTAAGTCCCTATCTCAAAATAAAAACTAGAAAAAGCTGGAGATATAGGTCAATGGTAGAGTAGCCTGGGTTCACTCCTCTGTACTGCAAACAATTAAAAAAAGAAAAAAACAAAATTAAAACCAATAGAAAATACATATTCTGAAATAATATAATACAAAACCATCTACATGTTTCACAAAAATGTTTATATATATATCTGAGATAAAAATCTAATATTTCACCAAATTCAATATACTGGTCTGAAGTTCCCAGCAGCTTTAAGATTGGATTCTTTTGTGACTATTTGTTTAAAATGTAATAAGATTCTGTTCCTACCACGCTGTTGAAGTGTGCGTCCTGGCTGGGAGTAAAGAAAGACAAAAAATGAAGAGAAGCACTGATTCAGTCTGTATAGCTTGAATCACCTTTCTAAATACAAATCAGATTTGTGGGCTCATCATTTCTCTTGGTGGGAAGCAGTATGCTAAAAATGAAACTAGACACACAAGTGAGACAGAAGGGAGTTTCTCAGATCAACCAAGATTGGCAGAGAAGATTTACTTCAGGAATTCTTAGAATCTGGACAAAAGAAACAGCAAAATCATCATAACTTCCCCCTAAACTTAATAAGCTTCTTTTATTCTCCAGAGAACATAAAACGTCCTATTCTACTTGTTATTTCTATCTGTAAATGAAAAACTATTTTTGCATTTTTTTTTTATCTCACTCATGGAAATGTGGCAACATTGCTCCTGAATCTCTGCTGATGTTTCCAACCAATTTATTTAGAATCAGACTTGTAAAGGAAAAAGTATTTTAAGGCACTTCTATGCAAATAAAACATATTTTTCTATATAGGCTGTCACTACTATAATAAGTATCTAAAGTAAAAATAAGGAAAACCCAGAGAACACAGGATAAAAACACACAGAATGACAGAAAAGAGTCTATAGTTAGAAGAAGACCACATATGGCGCAAACCCAATTCCTACCCTACTATTAAAGTGTAACGTAAATCAGTTACTTTGAATTCTTTTCATTATTCTTCTCTTTTCTCATCCTGTTATTTGCTAATAATTTTTTTTATTTAAGGAAATCTAGTAGAAATTTATACTTGGTAAAATACTCAGGCACTTGGTGAGACAGTAATTTTAACTGCTTTATGTTGGCAGTGGATTCATAGTCAAAGCACAATCTGACCAGGAGATTCTTCAGAATTTGAAATTCTACATGCTGTTTTAGATTTACTTTAGGTATGTGATTTTATAAGTAGAATGATTGTCTTAATCAAAGCAACACTAGTTTCAGAGATTTAATTTTGTAGCTTTCTTCCAGTAGCAAGTAATTAGATATTTAGCCTATTTGGTATCCCATGAATGAATTGAGAAGTTGGAAAATCAATAGAGCTGGAAAATGAATTTTGCCTGCTATTTCTTCTCCCTTATCCTCTGGCTCTATCCTAACCTTTTTCATTCCCTCTCTATACATACTTCCTCAAATTCTGCCAATCTTAGTTTTTATACCAGTCTGCTTCTTATGGAAAAAGCTAATTACCAACAAACTGGATAAAATGACTTCCTCTAATAATTACACAATTCCTCTGATGATACATAAATCTAAGTTTGTGGAGCACAAACAGTTCTACTGGTAGCAGTGCAAACAATGCAATAATAAAATGTAAATTGAGGAAAGCATTAGATTATTAATATATTATGAGAAAACTTGCAGAACTCAAAATTTCGCTTGACAGGGAATTGCTGGGGATGGGCATTTCAATGCTAAATAGCAAAAGAGATTGATGCCAGCTACTCTTTCCAGAATATTCAGCTTATCTTCACTGTTATTACTGCCATCACAACTGTCACACTGTCTGGGTACATAAGATGGCCCCTTAATCAAATGAACTATAAATCCCAGTTTCTGTACATATGCACATAAAGCATCAGTTTGTGATAAATGATAACATCCTTCTTCCTCACCAACATGGCAGTGATAACTCCAGATGAACGGAAATGAAAACTGTAACTACAAACTATTAAAACATGATTCTCAAGTAATCTTCAAACAAGGATTGAGTATAAACATCTCCTTCTCAAAACATTTTAGGCACTGGTTATTCCCAAAGTGACGTGATTGTAACACATATGAAATTACAAAATTGTCTCTAAAAAGATACTTATTCATGTATTTATAAAACATTATGAATGGTTCACTATGTGTAAAAAACATTGTGCTAGATTCTAAGGATACAATAAGACAAGATTACCCAGAAACTTGGAATAGTAGCCTAAATATTTCTTACAATATTTTTATTCCCCTGTAATTACTGAATCATTAGTACTGAAAATATAAAATTAAAAATCATCTGGGTTTGGAGATAGGGAGTGGTGTAGGAGTAAATAAAAATAAAGAAAAACTGGAAGGCATAACTTGCTCAAGATTCTATTCTAATTTGTACCTATTTATATTTTACTTTTTTCATAAGAACTAAAGGTATCTTATGATACATGAGATGGAATAAATAATAAATAAAAGCTAAACAACAAAACAAAAAAGTAGAAAACAAAGGCAGCAATTATAAAATAAAGCCAGGATACTTTAAAAATTTAACTTTTGGTGATTAAGAAATTTGGCTTTAAACTCTATAGTAAATAACTCAAGTAGGAAAGCCTTATTAGTTACTCCATTCAATAATCAGAATATAAAAAACGAACAAAAAAAGATCAACAACTTTGAAGCACTACTGTGGATCAAAACAAGAATTTTTTCAGGGTTAAAGACACTATTATATAGTAGTCAATGATTATCAACTAGATCCTTAGAAAAAATGGGACAAGTTTCACAGAGTATCACTTCACAAAAGTTGATGGCATGTCATCCACTGCAAATATTTTGTTATTAGTTAAATTCAGAGAACTGAGCTGGGAAGTAGATGTAATATCTCCTGTGAAAACCAGTCTACTTAAGGACAAAAAACTCCTTTCCACTGGAGAGAAGTGAGGAACATGCTGCGGACAAGGGTGACATATCCTTAGGAAATATTTTATATTTCTTTTCAATATATAGGCAAATAGGCATCTGAAGCTCTGAGATTCCACTTCATATAGCAATTTATCCTGCAAATTTTTCAGCATACACATTTCCAGCTCACTCAGGGTTCAAGAATTCAATATATTGGGAAAGCAGATAACCCCTGGAGACATACAGATAATCAGCAATCTCTATGCAAGGAGGTGAGCTTTAATTAACTGTATTGCTGTGACCAAGAATAAGACTCAGTGTAATACATTACCACCAACAGTCAGAGATCTGGTCAAAGGAGGCTGTAATAAGGTTTCTTCATCATTAAGTTGTTTCTTAAGTTCTTCGACAGATTCCAAATGGAGTTGGAGAAATTCTGCTGTTGCTGCTGATGCTTCTTCTTTAACAGGATCTATCATTCTCTTCAGAAGTAGTAGGTCATCCTTTCGGACTTTCAAGCAAAGCTTCTCCATTTCTCGGATATTGGAGCGCAGTTGCTATGAAAGAAAAAAGATCACTAATGGCACTGGCTTTGAGTATAAAACATTTGTTTTCATAAGTACTTTGTTACAATGATTGTGAATGGAAATGATTACATATTCTCTACAACAGAAGGTGTGCTATAATTCTTTCCTATTTTCCATATATAGCATCTTTAGAACCCACATTCTCACACTTTGAATTATTTAGCAGTTTTCCATCATTAAATGTGACTATTCTACAAAGGTAATTAATGCTCTTCAAAATAAGTCAAACACTACAGAACCATCTAAAGAAAAACTTATTTTCCCATTTTACTAATCCCATCTCTTTTCTTAACCCAATCCTACCATGTATTTCTCATGGCTCATGCACACATTTAGCATACATAGGCCTTCTCTCCTCATTAAAAAAAAATGGATAATATTATGCATAACAATCCATAACTTGTCATCCACACCCCAACTTGACAATATCATCATGGGCATCCCTCCTGATCAATAGTTATACCAACAATTACACCAGTATTCCATAATATTGGTGGTCTAATGCTTCTAACCTACCATTATCCTATACTTCCTCCAACCTTATGTTCATTCTCTTACCATTCAGTATGAGCTAGAAAACCTTGAAATAATTGGATTGTATATTCAAAACCTATGATTTACAGGCATTAATATATCAAAATTATATAACTTTATGGCCACCTTAAGTTCATCTTGATGATTTATTTCACAAGAAGGAAACAAGTCTAAACACAGCAGAATTAAAAAAGTCCTAGAACAATATTGTTTCCAACACATTACCACCTCCCGACTAAGTGACTCCTTTCTGAAATATAATTGTAAACCTTGGTTAAATAGTTGCCACATAGTCTATAGAAATATTTTAGGCAATGTTATCTCTTTTTTTTTGTACCTTGAATTGAACTCAGAAGTGCTTTTCCACTGAGCCACATTCCCAGACCTTTTTTAATTTTATTTTTTATTTTGAGACAGGGTCTCACTAAGCTGATCAGGTCCTCATTAAATTTCTAAGGCTGGCCTCAAACTTGTGATCCTCTTGCTCAGCATTCCCAGTCTCTGGGATTATAGGTGTGTGTCACCATACCTAGCTAGGCAATATCATCTTGAAGAAGCACTGAAGTTTTCCTGCAGACAAACCCAATGAGCATTTACCTGTCACATATTTGTCCTCTATTAAAGAACTTATACATATGTCTGTGTCTCCAGGTAAATTTTCTATCCAGCTAAGAATTCTATTACTATGGGTGAACCTGTGACATATTCTTCCTGTCCTAAGGGACTTGTACATATGTCTGTGTCAACAGGGAAATTATCATATCCGGCTAAAAACTATTACTATGTGTGAAGGGAAAAAAATTAAGGGAAAGACAATGCTCACTTAAGTATAAAATCTGATCCTACAGTAACAAATATAATAATAATAATATAAAAAACATAACTAATGATATATTTTTGTCAATACTTACTGTAAGCTATCCATTATGCCAAGTGGTTAACCTTCACAATGTATCTTTAAAATGGTTATTGCCATTATTATGACCTTATGGAAGAGAAAATTAAAGCAAGAAGTAAAAAATGTAACCCAGGACCATACTGCTAGTAAAGGATACAATTAGAAATCAAATCCAGGCCAAGGATCTTGTATCCTTCACAATTTTACTATTTGATAATACTAGGCAACAGAAATATAATGCAAAACTCATGATATAATTTATTTAATAATAACATCAGAAAAAGAAGAGCTGAAATTAATTTTAATACTGTTATTTAACCCAATGTATCTGAAATATTAGTTCAACATGCAATCAATATAAAATTATGAATTGAGCATTGTATATTCTTTTATTTGTAGTCAATCTTAGAAATTGGGTGTATATATATTTTATATTCACAACACATCTTAACACAAACTAGCAACATTTTAAGTGTTCATCAGCCCCATGTGACTTGGAACTACCACATTGGATAGCACAGGTAGAGAGTCTCTCTAAAATCAAATAGTAGATATAGGATAGCAAAACTACATGTAAAAACCATAAAAGAGGTATTCCTACTTCTGGAAATAGCAATACTAGGTGACTCAGAATAACTTTCTCACTAATGATTACTTTAAAAACTGAGTAAAAAAATCATAATACCAACTAAAAGAAAAAAACCTGAAAAGCATCAAAAAGCAAACAAGATAATTAGTAATTTGCAGGACAAGAACTTGGCAAAGAAAAGTAGTCCTGAACTCAGGTCACATTTGCTCTGGGAATACTTGCCTAATAACGCAGACTCACAAAGGTTGGGACAACAATTCAATGGCAGGACACCCTAACTGTGAGGACCCTGGTGCTTTGGGCTAGGATCTTAAAGAGCTACATCCTACAATCACAGGTATACTGAAATAAGCCATCTCTTGCATGAATGGCAGATTTACTTCCTATTTCTTGAGTAGCTTACAAAACCCCTTAAACTCCAAAATTATATAAAGATAATCTTAGAAAGTGTCCTCAGGGGCAGAAACGAAGTCAAAGGCAAATCCTCACACAAGGAAAGTGATATTATTCCTAGCTTCAAATAATTTTTCAAATATAATGTCCACCAATTAAGATAATTATATATGTGAAGACATATGCAACATGAAGAAGCAGCAGAAACAAACAGAAACATACAAATGGACATTTGTCAATTTATAAATTTATAAAATATTTATAGTTATTTTGTTCATAGATACAAAAATCAAGCTGGAAAATTTGGCAGTTAGAATCTACATAAAGCAACATATAAATTTTAAAAAGATTCCATAATTTTTAAATAATGTCAAAAAGAAAGAATTTAATAAATGAATTTAGCTGTATGTTAGGCCAAGCTGAAGAAAAAATAGAAAATAGATCGAAAGAATCTATGTAAAATAAAAAAAGGAAAGTTAAAAATACAGAAGAGGAAGTTAAAAGACATAGAGAATACATTTATTTATTTAACTACAATAATAATAAATAATGTATTTATTTAGAATCTTAGAAGAGGATAGAAAACAAATTTGAAATGATAATGGCTGAAAATTTCCAGAAACAGAGGGAGGAAAAATATCAATCCACAGATTCAAGAAGATCAACAAATCCTGAGAAGAATAAATAAAAAGAAAAATATACCTAGCTAAACAAAAGGAAAGACGAGAATAAAGATGTTCAAGAGGAACTAGTGACAAAACCATTTCCTGCAAAGAGATGGTAAGATCATAACATGACTTCACATAGCAATAATGAAAACTATTGAAGAAAACTAAATGATGTATTCAAAATACAGAAAGAAAATTGCTGTCAACTTAAAACTATTTCCTGCAAAAACATTCTTCAAGATCAAAGGTAAAATAATATTTATAGAAAAACAAAAACTGAGTAATTATCTTCAGTATATACATGGTAAATGCTATATAAATAATATTTAAGTGGAGGAACATAAATGGAACTAAAACATTCTAATGTGCTTGTATTATCTGTGTTGCTAAGTAAAGGATATAATATGTAGTAGTTTTCATTAAAAGCCTATAATATAAAAGCCAATACAGAAAAAAACCTGAATCAATAGAAAATATAAAATCATCCCAAAGAAAGTAAAAATGGAGATGAAAAGAATCAAAAAGGCAGAGTTAGAATACACACAAAAACATGAAAGATTTTAAACTGAAATATATCACTGATTATATTAAATATAAATGAAATAAGTATTCCAGCTGTAAAATGAAGAATTTCAGACCAGATAAAAAGCAAAAGAGGTATATGTAAAACAAAAAGAAAAAATAAAAGAATGGAAAAGCTACATGATAAACAAACCCTAATACTCCCTCCCCCAAGAAAACCGCTGTAGCAATATTAATAGCAGAGAAAACAGACTTTAAAGTTAGAACATTACTATAAATAAAGAATTGCTTTATAATAATAATAATAATAATAATAATAATAATACCTTCACCAGGAACATATAATTCTAAAGTTGGGTATACCTAATAACATAGCCACAACATATGTAATTCAAAAGTTGACAGAACTACAAAGAAAAATTTAAATCCACAGTCATAATGGAAGGCTTTAATACCTTTTCAGTAACTTATGGGACAAATGGACAAATGATATAAGTTAGACATAAAGGATTTGAACAAGATTAAAATTTGAGAATATACATGTAAAAAACACAGGCAGCATTTACAGAAATTGACTATGTACTGTCTTAAATTTTACAATACTCTGACCATAATATACATTACTTGAAATAATTAGGGGGATATATAGCTATATACACTACATGTATTTAGAAAGATATTTCTAAATAACCCATAGATCAAAGAAAAAAATCACAATGGAAATTAAAGATGCCTTGAACTGAATGAAAAAAAATAATTCATATTAAAACTTACAGCCAACTAAAAAGAGTAATTAGAAATGTATATAAGTCCATATACATTAGAAAAGAAGAAAGGCTGGAAAGTAGTAGACTAAACATCTATCCTAATAAACTAGAAAACAGCAAAAATGAATGCAAAGGCAGAAGGGAGAAAATAATAAAGATCTGAACAAAAATTTATGAAACAGAAAAATAAATACACAATATATCAAAGCCAAAACTTAATTTGGAAATACTAATAAAATTGATAAACCTCATGATAGGTATTTTAAAACAATAGAGAAGGCACAAATAACCAAAATCAGAAATAAACAAAAGGGGATATTACTACTGATCTTACAGAATTATACAATAAGAAGATATTATGAACAAATATATGCCTATAAATTAGAAAAGTTAGATAAAATATATAAATTCCTAGAAAACTACAATTTACCAAGCTGATAAGAAGTAGAAATCTCAATAGTCATATACCTGTTAAAGAAATTACATCTATATTTTGAAACTACCCTGCCTTCTCCCTTTCTACACACAAAGCTAAAACCAACCAGACCAAAAAGCAGCATGAATGGTTTCACTGGCCAATTCTACCAAACATTTAAAAG